GTCAAACTTTCCATAAGTCAGAGGAGTCAGGCCCCCCTCCGTGGATGCTGGGATGATAAAGGCTGGGCCCGATAAAGGTGCTGGTACCAAGCCAAAGGCATGTCTGAGAGCGGTGTAAGGGCAGAGTGGATGTGGAGCAATGCGAGGTAACGGAACAGTTAAAATGCGCTGACTAAATTGGATGGTCTTCGACCATCGATTGATAATGATGGCCCAGTCATTGAAGAAGAGGATATCTCCTCGACGCAGGTGTTTGGATGGGTCAAACTTTGTTGATCCTTTGCATAGCAAATTCGCCTTACGAAGGAGGCCAAAGAACGCTACGAGGCAAACTGCCCAGAAGGTTGCATGTAAAGGGCTGTCCAAATGTAAATGACTCTTGAAGGCTAATAGGATCTGGGGTGTAATCGGCTTCTTTTGGGACACTGTTAAACCTTTTACACGCTTGATTCCTCGAAGTGTAGATGCCAATTGAAAATTGTTTTTGGTTGGGTCAGACAGACCATGTTCAAGGTGTAGAATGCGAATCGCATTTAAATAGGCTGGGATGGAGGATGCTGAGAGTGACCTTGCTAGAAAAGCTGCATAGCGATTAAGGGTTAATGCTGCTGCTGGGAGAGGTTGGTAGCCGTAGTATACACAAAAGGAGAGGTATGAACGCATTTGACTCATGTAGGTGGACTTGGTAGTAGGTGCATATGATTGACGCCGGAAATTGGTGACTTCACGGTCAAGTTGCTGCTGATCCCTTGGATCTAAGGAGAGCAAGAGACAATGGCGACATGTGAGATTCGAAGTCATTTGATCTAGAGGATTTGGAGAGCCATGCTTGGAACGTTGGCCAGTAGTGCACATCATTAAGGCGTGAAATACTATCTGCTAGAGTGTTGGTTGCTCCTGGAATGTGCTTGACGAACAAACTGAAGTTGTAATACTCCTTAAGCCAAAACAGAGAACGAATCCAGTCCATGATCACCGGGCAACAGGTTGAGCCTTTGTTCAGAATGGCTGCAGCCACCTGACTGTCTGTTTTGACGACTACTCGATGACCTGACCAGAAAGGTGCCCAACGGTGTGCAGCTAAAACAATGGTAAATGTCTCCTTGTAATTGATATGGAGAGAGCATAGAGATGGGTAGTCCAAGGCCCAGTTGACGTACATCCAGTCTGGTGCCCATAGGCACCCCCCGCCAGACAGGGAGGCATCAGTAAGCACTGCTGTAGGAAGTTCAGGGATGGCTGAGGGGAACAAAGTTTTACAGTTGTGTGCAGGCAGGAGGCGGGTCCACCACATGAGGTCAGCTCTCGCATTTAGGTTAAGATAGACGCGATGGTGCGGACGTTTAACCGAGTTTGCCAAGGTGATAAGCCGTCTGAGAAATGTGCGGCCCCCTCGAACAACACGTGCTGCCCAATTAAGCTTGCCAAGGAGTCGTTGGAGGTGAAGCTTGGTACATTTGCTTTTATAGCTTGTTTCCTTGAGAAGGGATAACAACTCTGACACACGATCGTCTGAGAGGCGGAGTTCACACTGAACAGTGTCGATTTCAACTCCAAGAAAAATCAGGCACTGGGTAGGGTAGACAACTTTGCTCCAGTTGATAGTGAAGCCAAGAGACTCTAGTAAGTTTAACAGGGTGTCAAAAGCTACTTTGCACTGAAGTTGGGTTGGTTCGATGATAAGGAAGTCATCAAGATATGCCAGCACAGTATACCCTCTCCGGGCCATCATACGACAGATCCCTTGTGTGAGGCGGTGAAAAACCATTGGTGAGGCCCTGGCTCCAAATGGTAGACGCTTATCATAGAGGTAGATGGGGTGTTTTGAGTCGTTGAAGCGCCACGACATTCCTGTAACTCGCCAGCTATCGGGGTGTGTTCCAACGCTTCTGTAGGCATGTTTTAAGTCAACTTTTGCCAACCAACAACCAGGTTGACAGAGATTTGCTGCATCATCAACGGTAACATACTTGTAGTGTTCTAAATCCATATATGAGTTAGCATTCATCGTTAAGGGTCGGCTACAATCCATGATCATTCGTAATTCATTGGAGTCCTTTTTTGGTACGGCTCCAAGGGCATTAATGATAATTGGCATGTCGGTCTTGACTGCGATAGCAAAGTGGTCTTCTCGGAGACCTTTGATTAATTGCGCTTCAATTTGATCTTTAGCTCCAGGTCGCAGAGCAGACTTATTGTTTTGTGTAAAAGCATGTGAAACCATTAAATCAGGCGAGAGGAGCTGAAATCCATTTTTAACACCATCCAAGATAAATTCCGAGTCCGGGTCATTGGTTAGCTCTGTTGCCCAGGTCTCAAAAACTAAGTCTGTGGAGACCTGGGCTGCTTGGGGCTGCTGCTTAAATTCTGAAAAGGGCCCTGCATGAATGGGTAAACTTTCCCCACACTCTGCGGGAAGTGGTGTCCTTAAGACGGGATTAGTCCCTGCGTTTAACAATGTGGTCGAGACATCTCCTGCTAGTTCCGTAGTCAAAATACTATTTGGAGGGAGCTCTGCAGTTGAGTGTGGGTTCAGTATTGGGGGTCTTGAGCAGTAGCAGACTGGTGCTGCCATTGGGGGTGGGTTCCCAAGCACTGAGGTTTGATGCAAACATGATCATATTTACATGAAGAGGCAAAGCGGCACCCTTCACGCCGTTGGTAATCATAGCAAACTTGCTTTCCTGTTGCTGGGTTTAGGACTGGGCGGGACGTTTTGCGAGGAGATAGCCGCGGCGGTGTGGGAGTTGGATCTGGTCTGTGGAGTGTTTGGTGGGAGATGAACTGGCTGTCAGTACCCCATTTACAGTTTGTCGAAAACTGCATTCTGCGGTACAAATCATCATATTGCATCACTTTCGGTAAGGGGTAACACTTGGCTAGCTCAGATATCTTTGAACTGTACATAATGTAATGAAGGATGTCTTGGGTGGACGATAGAGACCCATCTGACATGAGAGTATGCATAATACGAAAGTTAGCCGCTGACCATTGTGGGAATGAGATTTTGTCAAGAGGCAGTTTCTTGTCTTGAGCGGTTTTTAATACAATTCTAGCATCACCAGAGGTTCCAAGCACGGTCTCCTTATCCTCCTGTAGTACTAAGGGAAGGCAGCTAATGAAATCAGGGATAAGTAGAGGACGTTTACCTCGCGAAGTAGAGGGCTCTAACAGCGGTTGTGCTGGGTCTTGTTCCTCTGCGGTTAAACCCAGTAAGATGGGGTCTCCTAAGGAATCCATGAGAGATTTAAGCTCGGATTGAACAACTGGGTCTTGCTGGAGACTTTTCAAGGTTGGTTTTGCGACAGAATGACTATCAGGTGTTGTTGTTGCGGTCGCCGTGGCCATCTTGGGCGCACTTGGTTGCTTGGACTCTCGCTGTAGCTTCAACAACTCGAGTTTGGTGCGTGTAAGATCCAGTTCAAGCTGTAAATTGCGGTTTCGAAGATCTTCGATCGCTGTTTCGTTTACAGTGGGTTGTTCTGTTTTAAAACTGGTTGGAGTAAGGTCTTTTATCAAAGACTCAACCTGACTCAGTTCGCGTTTGACTGCTTCGCTCATCTGTTGAGGTGTTGCCGATTCTGCCGCCAGGTCATCCGCGACGAAATCTTGTAGTTTTTTCGGAGGTTTTGTGCTCCTGCTGCTCTTTCTAGTCGCCATAGTGTAAACATCGACAACAATGCACCATAAGAAAACGATTCAGGAAAAATAAACGTGAGTTCAGCGAAGTAACGGTCTGTTGAAGCACATGGCGAAAGAACTGCGTAGAACGCATG